ATTTTGGGGAATTTGGGGGGTTTTGAGGGGTTCGGGGGAATTTGGGAGAGGTTTTAGGGGATTTTAGGGAGATTTGGGGGGAGATTTTGGGATTTTGGGGGGATTTGGGGGAGGTTTAAGGGAGATTTGGGAATTTGGGGGACATTTTTGGGGGGATTTGGGGGAATTTTGGGGATTTGGGGGAATTTTGGGGTCATTTTGAGGGGTTTAGGGGGGGATTTGGGGGAATTTTCAGGGGGATTTTGGGATTTTGGGGGGGATTTTGGGGGGATTTTGGGGATTTTGGGGATTTGGGGGGGATTTTGGGGGATTTTGGGGGATTTTGGGGGGATTTTGGGGGATTTTGGGTGTCCCCTCTAACGTGTCTCCTCCCCCTCCCCAGAGCTGCCAGCAGAGGAAGGTGAGTCCCCAAAATGCCCAAAAATGCCCCAAAATGACCCCAAATACCCCAAAAACTCCCCCAAATATCCCAAAAAGTCCCAAATTCTCCCCAAAAATCCCAAATTCTCCCAATAAATACCCAAAATATCCCCAAAGCACCTCAAAATACCCCAAAACCGCCCCAAAATATCCCAAAATTCCCAATTTCTCCCAAATTCTCCCCAAAACGACCCAGAAAGTCCCAAAACTCCTCCTGAAAATTCCCAGATTCTCCCCAAAATGCCCCAAAAATGCCCCAAAAATGTCCAGAAATGTCCCAAAAATGTCCCCAAATGTCCCAAAATGCCCCAAAATTGCCCCAAATATCCCCAAATTCCCCAAAAATGCCCCAAAAACTCCCAAAAAATTCCCAAAATGTCCCAAAAATGCCCCAAAATTTCCCCAAATATCCCCAAAAACGCCCCAAAATTGCCCAAAAATGCCCCAAAAAATCCCAAAAAATTCCCCAAAGGCCCCGAAAATTCCCGATTTTTTTCCCGGGAATTCCCGGGCTGTCCCCAAAATGTCCGGAATTGTCCCCAAATCCAGGGAAATCCATCTGGGAGTTGGTGGTGGAGCAGTTCGAGGATCTCCTGGTTCGGATCCTGCTCTTGGCCGCCTGCATCTCCTTCGTGAGTGCCCAAAACGCCCTGAAACGACCCAAAATGGCCCAAAATGACCCCAAAATGGCCCAAAATGGCCCAAAATGACCCCAAAATGGCCCAAAATGACCCAAAAATGGCCCAAAATTAGCCCAAAATGACCCAAAACTACCCAAAATGACTCAAAAGTGGCCCGGAATGGTCAAAAATGGCCCCAAAATGACCCAAAATGACCCAAAATGGCCCCAAAAATGGCCCAAAATGGCCCCAAAATGGCCCCAAATGACCCAAAATGACCAAAAATGACCCAAAATGGCCCAAAATGACCCAAAATGGCCCAAAATGACCAAAAATGACCCAAAATGGCCCAAAATGACCCAAAATGGCCCAAAACTACCCAAAATGACTCCAAAGTGGCCCGGAATGGTCAAAAATGGCCCCAAAATGACCCAAAATGGCCCCAAAATGGCCCCAAATGACCCAAAATGACCCAAAATGGCCCAAAATGTCCCAAAATGACCCAAAATGACCCAAAATGGCCCAAAATGGCCCAAAATTACCCAAAATTACCCCAAAATGGCCCAAAATGACCCAAAATGACCCCAAAATGGCCCAAAATGACCCAAAATGGCCCAAAACTACCCAAAATTACTCCAAAGTGGCCCGGAATGGTCAAAAATGGCCCCAAAATGACCCAAAATGACCCAAAATGGCCCCAAAATGACCCAAAATGACCCAAAATGGCCAAAAATGACCCAAAATGACCCAAAATGACCCAAAATGGCCCAAAATGGCCCAAAATGACCCAAAATGGCCCAAAATGGCCCAAAATGACCCAAAATGACCCAAAATGGCCCAAAATGGCCCAAAATGACCCAAAATGGCCCCAAATTGGCCAAAAATGACCAAAAATGACCCAAAATGGCCCAAAATGACCCAAAATGGCCCAAAATGACCCAAAATGGCCCAAAATGGCCCAAAATTACCCAAAATTACCCCCAATTGGCCCCAAAATGACCCAAAAATGGCCAGAAATGGTCAAAAATGGACCCAAAATGACAAAAAATGTCAAAAAACGGCCTCAAAATGGCTGAAAGGACCCAAAATGACCCAAAATGACCAAAAATTGGCCCCAAAATGGTTCCAAATGGTCAAAAACGGACCCAAAATGACCCAAAATTACCCCAAAGTGACCCAGAATGTCAAAAAATGACCCCAAAATGGCCTGGAATGGTCAAAAATGGACCCAAAATGTCCAAAAATTGACACAAAATGACCCCAAAATGACCCAAAATGACCGAAAATGACCCCAAAATGTCCCAAAAATGGCCTGAAATGGTCAAAAATGGACCCAAAATGACAAAAAATTGACACAAAATGGCCCAAAATAGCAAAAAATGACCCAAATTTGGTCCCAAAATGGCCTAAAATGACCCAAAAATGGCCCAAAATGACCAAAATTGGCCCCAAAATGGTTCCAAAAGGCCCAAAATTGCCCTAAAATGGCCCAAAATGTTCAAAAATGGCCAAAAATGG